CTACCTACCGACGTAGTCGATACTACTACTACGTAGTAGTAGCACATATGGTGGTAGAGTAGAAGTATACTAAAAAAAAAAAAAAAAAAAAAAAAGAATACGGTAATCTAAATTTAACTTGTGTGTATCGTCATGCATCGTTGACTAATCTTAGAAGGAGTAACCTTCATTTACTTCATTTACTACACAATGCCATTCATGGCCTGTCGTAAAAACAAACTTTATGTATGTATGTATATATACGGCGTATTTAATCATTTTACTGACCTGTAATGAGACGAAGTACATTTAGTGGAAACTTCCAATAGTAATGTTACCATTGATTCTGAAATAGCCAAGAAATATAGACATGACGAAATTAAATGAAAACTATAACGTGTCAAGTAAATAATTTTGTTCTTAAAGTCACTTTAAAAACTCATGAATATTATTGATAATGAACGAAACTTCTGCCTGCTGTAACATTATAACGATTTTAGCATAATCACAAATGCGGCGTATTTAATAATTTTTATTAACGTATGATGGGACTAAATAAAGTTAATTCAGTGAAAAATTACCTAGTGCTTTCCAACGAACCCACGGTGAAGTTTCTGAAGTAATGTTTCGTATATTGTGATATTGATTCTTCAGTCCATACGTCAATCCATGACTTAGAAAAATTAATCATTTTGAGAACTCGGTAGAGCCTGATATTTTTGAAAGTCTGATTCGTATCCGAATAATAGTACTCAAGATGAAATGAATATGATCAACAAATTGATTGGGCGCATAGCAGCAGAGTTTTCTTGACAACTCCACACCACCAGGGCCTTGTATGGCCTGGTGGTTAAGGCGTTCGACTCGCAATTTGAATCCCCGTCACCGAACAAGCTCGCCCTTTCAGCCGTATGGGCATTATAATGTGACGGTCAATCCCACTATTCGTTGGTCAAAGAGTAGCCCAAGAGTTGGCGATGGGTGGTGTTGACTAACTTCCTTCTCTCTAGTCTATCACTGCTAAATTTGGAACGGTATGCACAGATAGCCCTCGTGTAGCTTTGTGCGAAAATTCACAGACCAAACCAAACTCAGCCATCGCATCGAGATTTCTGACTCTTTAAAATGTTATCATAATTGAGATATTCATAACGAAAAATAAAATTATTAAATTATAAATAGTCAAATAGGCTAAAGTTGGAGCTTCGGTGAAAAGGTTTGGGGTGTTTCTCTCTTCTTCTTGTTTTTGATTTTTCTGGGTGTTTCCAAGTTTTGGAAAAACGCGCTTTTGATCTAAAACGACCACGAACTTCAAGAAAATGGACCCAGGTATTTTTAATTGGTGAGCTTAACAAACAGATCAACATATTCCTACACAAATGTTGGTTTTAATGCCTATTTTGCTAGCTTAAGATCTTTGCTTTCCCAGTGGATTCATTGCATGCGAGTAGACTTTCAAATGTGGTGATCTGTTGTAGTCACACAATGTCTCAGCCTTCATTTTTGTTAACCTTCTATATAATTGTAAGTCGTATTGAGTGTCATGCATTTTGTCAGCCTTTCTTTTTGTTAACCTTCTATATAATTGTAAGTCGTATTGAGTGTTATGCATTGTGTTAACCTTCTATATAATTGTAAGTCGTATTGAGTGTCATGCATTTTATCAGCCTTTCTTTTTGTTAACCTTCTATATAATTGTAAGTCGTATTGAGTGTCGTGCATTTTGTCAGCCTTTCTTTTGTTAACCTTCTATATAATTGTAAGTCGTATTGAGTATTATGCATTGTGTTAACCTTCTATATAATTGTAAGTCGTATTGAGTGTTATGTATTGTATCAGCCTTTCTTTTTGTTAACCTTCTATATAACTGTAAGTAGTAATGAGTGTCATGCATTTTGTCAGCCTTTCTTTTTGTTAACCTTCTATATAATTGTAAGTTGTATTGAGTGTTATGCATTGTGTCAACCTTCCTTTTTGTTAACTTTCTCTATAATTGTAAGTCGTATTGTGTCAACCTTCCTTTTTGTTAACCTTCTATATAATTGTAAGTCGTATTTAGTGTCATGCATTTTGTCAACCTTCCTTTTTGTTAACCTTCTATATAATTGTAAGTCGTATTGAGTGTTATGCATTGCGTCAGCCTTCCTTTCTTTTGTTAACTTCCTGTGCACTTGGGTGCGTTTAGGGTTCAAAAAGAAATTTTCAAACCCTAAAACCTAATATTTTACTTGAGCAGAGGCAGTAATAATCAAGGATTAAAGCAACCCCGTCTTTTTTAAATCTCATTTTCAACGTTTGTCAAGAAAGAAGATCAACTTGATTAAGAGGATGAAAACCATTTTATTTACATGATTCGTCGAACGTTTCGGAATCTACTTATTCCGTCACGAGCGAAGTCTTGTTGATTGATATACATAAATTCAAATAAAGTAAAATATTAATGATGTTGGAAAAAATAAGCTTCGAAAACATTCGGAAGGAATGAGCAGTAGAGTTAGCACTCGGCAAAGCATTAAAATGATTGGTTGAAAGGGAGAGGAATTGTGCAATATTATTTAGAAATTAGAATCTAAAATCAGTTTCAAAGGCCAAAAATCTTCATTGCCCGTGAGGCCTACCAATTTCAGTTCGCCCCAATATACCTTGTTTTCAAATTTCTCTGAGGGTGGAAAAAGTGTATTCCAAAAGGTGTATATGTTCGATGAAACACATAAATAAAATGTTTTTTTGTTTTATTTTATCTTATGAATCGTGTTTTTCTTCATTAGCAGACTTCATTTTCCCTCCATTAATGTTTAGGAAATATTTTAGCTGTGGGCTTTGAAATAAATCGTACGTGACAATGTGGAATGAGAGGATGTTTCTTTGTAAACAAACCCGAGTTAAGAATGAAAAAATTGCATCACATCCGCCACTGTATTCAGCCGTGAAACTATTGGCAGACAAACCTGACTTAGTTTTTCAAGGGCACCTGTTCATGTGCCTTGAGCGTCCGGCCGACTACCTGAAGGGCGAGAATAGGTTTGGGTTTTGTACCATGTTAGGCCACATTTATCACCATTGTTTCCCGGCACAGGTAGGATCTTAATGAAGGTATCCGCGTGATTGGTTGGTTACTCGTTTGCACGAAGTTCTGTTACAGTAGGATTTTACTTGCCATCAGACCTTGCCCTTAGTCTGCCCCCGTTTTCGTTCCGACTGTACGGCCACAGCCATATCCTCCTACTGTAGAGGGTGCCGGCTGACTCACGCCGGGCTTATAGGAGCAGCTCAAAGTCCTGACTACGGCTACAACATAATCCAGCCTTGTCGAGGACACGTGCACTCCTTGTACCACTCAGTTTTAGCATTCACCCTTTTTTTTTCTTTGTAAGTTCGGAAAAGTTGATTTTTCTGCATATGTTGATTCAAGCTCTTCTCCAAGGTTAGTTCATGCGCCGTGGACTGATAGGCCTAGATGTAGCACAATGTATATATATAGCACGCGCATCGTGTACACGCTATGGATATACGTGTCTATGGTTTTGTTTTAGATGCACTTGTCGTCTAGCCGTCTGACTGGACTGGAAGATAAGCTAGCTAGCACACGCTTCCACATGTAGACAGCATACAGAGTGCATTCGGTTTGTGTTTCTCACCCAGACAGGCAGTTTTAGTGGCGCATCGATTGGGATGAAACCGTCACTGACCTGGTGGTACACGTTCGCACGTGCATGATATAGTATAAAAACGTGTGTTCGATTTTTTTTTCTGTTTCGTTTGTCTGTACCATGACTCTAGCGGTGTTTTTTTTTATACGTAGGATCTTTGGTGGGAAATATAATTTCTTGAGTTATTAGTACTGTTACGTGTGCGTCTAGTAGGGCAAATCTAATTTCATTATATTTATTTGTATGCTAAAATGAACGTACTACAGTCTTAAATGTTTATTATTTACATTGTATTTCCCAACTCAATACAATACTTTTTCAAATTTCTTTACCTATCAGTACTTGTGTAATACAAAAAAAAAAACTATCTGCGTCGGTTTTCACGTGTTATTTAAAGCATGGAAGGAATAGTTACGAAGAAAGAGCGTCTTAAGTTATCTGTTACAGAGCTCTTATATGGGTCGTCAAGTAGCGGTTGTTCGACTCCCAGCTGGCTCCAATCCCCATTACCAGGTAAGGTGATTTCCCACTGCTTATGGTTTTTTTTACTCATAAAGCTGCGTTAATCACAGTACTTACATGATCATGGTATATACTATTCTGTAGAAGTGCCTTAAATAGTTCTTGTATCTCAATGTCTATGTTTTTCTTCAGCATTGTACTGTATCCACTTATTTCTCTCGGGTCAATTTATTTGTTTATTTAAACATTTCTATCTGCCTGTCATCTTCTTTTTTTTTCTCGATATATATAAATACTAATGGTTTTGATGACTCGTTTCCGTTTTAACGAATCTTTCTCTCTGTCTATTACAAAATATTTAAATCTTCCCATTTATTTTATCGTCTATATGAACGACAGAAGGGAAAGGTTAAAAAATATATATTTAAATCTTCCCATTTATTTTATCGTCTGTATGAACGACAGAAGGAAAAGGTTAAAAAAATATATATTTAAATCTTCCCATTTATGTTATCGTCTGTATGAAAGGTTGGAAATGTGAACTTGAATATTAATTAAGAGTATAAGGTAAGGTTTACCAGACTCGATAGGCTTAGTGGAATGGTACGTTGTGTGCGGGTAGTTTCTTTGACAGATACCCAAAGATGTGAATAGCTATACTTAGTTTTGGTTTTGATGCCTTGGTTGGTAAATAGCTCTTCGATCTTATTATGTTAATATTTAAATATTTATGTGTCTGTCTGTCTCTGTCTATTAGGTCAAAATATTTCTGACTCTTCGTTTATTCGTATTTGTATGTTTATTAACCCATTTTCATATGTTTCATATGTCTACATAACAAAAAAAAATATTATAATGAGACCAAAATTTATAATCATTCTTCCATTACCAACCCTCGTTGTTATCCTTAAGTCATAATGGATAATGTCCGTGGTCATAGCATCCAAACGCGTTGGGGATATTCCATCTATAAGTATCAGAAAAGATCTCAACGCCGATGTAAATAAAACTCGCCAGAAACTAAGGAGAATCAAAGTGTTTGAAACAACAACGTCTCAACTCCTACTGCCTTTCGTTGTCTGTAGCCAGTTAAAAGAAGGCAGTTACCCTTAATATTTAGATATAACCTTAAAGTGGAATTCAACTGCCCTGAAACTGTATAATGTAAGATTCCTAACCTCCTCCCCCTTTTTTTTTAATATTATAAGATATAAAAAGTAAAATATATTCTTACATTATAAATAAAACCACCATATATTTGTACAAAACTCCCAACCTATAGAGTGGTTTATTATGGACAATTAATAGCATTAATATTTATATATATTACATGACTATGCCCTTCTTTCTGTACTCATGAATTTTCGTCTTTCTTACCATGCTCTTCCTTCTGACGATCTAACGAGCAGGTGATTCAAAAAAATGATAATTAATAATTTATGGTGTCTGTTTGTTTAAAGTTAAGCACAAAGCTACACAATGGGCTATCTCTGCTCTGCCCACCACGG